CTTCAACAGGGACCAAAGGCATAAACCAGCATCATCTGATCAACACCCGACCCCTAGTTATGCAGGACACCTTGATTTCTGCTATATTGTTAAAAATTAACTTTCAGGTCTCTGTGCATTTAACTCAGGTGCTGGACCTCTCTCCCTGGAGGGCTTTGGCTCTGAGTCAAGCAGACTTCAGGCTGCAGCAAGCACGGCTGATTTCAGCAGCACACACAGCCCTGAGCAGAGCCCTTACCAAAACAGACCCCAACGCTCCCGTCCATCACCCAGTCAGGAACCCATTTCACACATCACTGCCCCCATTCAGCCCTTCTCACCTGAGGGAGCCGGGGGGACCAGCAGCAAGACTTGGTTTGGATTTAAACAAATAAACACTCTGCTGAAGCCTTTGTAAAGTCTCCAAAGTGAAAAAAAAAAAAAAAAAAAAAACAAAAAAAAAAAAACAAAAAACCAAAAAACCCCAACCAAACCAACCAACCAAACCAAAACACCTACAAAATGTAACTGGTTTTACTGTGTCCTCATATGTTCGCCTTATGGCCTGTATCAAATAAGCAGAATGAGTAAAAAAAGTCACCAGTGCTCTGCATTCTTGTAATTCAATCAGCTTTAATCATCCAAGATGTTTTCACTAACCTACGGTAAGGGTATTTGTTCTAATAACCTTGGATAGAGTGGTGACACGTTAAAGATGGCTCCCTTGAACAAAGAAAGATAAAAACGCAATTTATGGCAGGATGTTGAATCTCAAGGCAAATTCCCGCTACTGTAAATTGCAGCTTTTTCCCCAGGTCAGCCCTTCTCCAGATAGCAAGCACTCTGTCTTTGCCATTTTACTACACATCTTCCTGTACTTCTCCTCCTTGCTGGTCAGGAGTATTCTTCAAAAATAGTCCTCCTCTAAGGATCTAGTCTATTGTATTTACAGTATTAACTGGAAAAAATAAACAGTTCAGTCCTAAGAAATGGGCCAACACCCAGTGCCACAAAGGATCTTGTCAGTCCCGACACACCCGTCAGCCCACGAAACCTGTAGCACCCAATTCTACCCTCTAGACTCTTGCCAACTTCCACAAAGACCTTCTCCAGGGCTGGTGGCACGACCACCCTTCAGCTGGCCAGAGCTGTGCAGCACAAGCTGTCAGTGAAAGCCCCAGTGCCCCCCCGGCCTCCCCATCCAGCATCACCGATGGCTGCTGGATTCACTGGGCACCGAGCACACCAGACCCGTTAAAAACACCGGCAGCACGTCAGCTTCCACACACAACCCCTGCTCAGGGACCTTCCCGAGGAGGCCTGCTCGGAAGCACTGACCACCAACAAAACAACGTTGTGAAGGGCTGAAGGGACTGTGAAGACTTCTTCCAAGTCTTGTAGGATGCTGAAAAGCATTATTTGCTCACAAAGCCTTTGAGAAGTAATGGATCCTACCACATAATTGTGGGTAAGATTTTTATCTTACATGTAACATAAATGGTACAAATACCTCCCTTTACTGCAACCTCCAGTTAAAAAGCAGCATGGAATAAGCAAAACGATTTTAAAGTTCAGGAATCTCCTAAGCACACTGCAGCAGCTGACTGCCTTCCACACAACTGTTGAAAACCATCTCCTCCGCTCAGGAAAGGACCTCGCTAGAGACGCGAGGACAGTTCAGTGTCCACAGGTCAATCAAAGTATTAAAGGAAAATTAAGTGAGGCTTGTAATTAATAGCCATGGTGATTGTTTATACAGTTTTTGTTATGTGACTGCTGGAAACTAAACAGAGGCTACCATATAAGCCAGTCCAAAAACCAGGTAGCTTTCAGTGATGAGGAACCTGGCTGCCATTTAAGCTGGCACTTTAGATGCAGGAGACTCTATCCATCTCCATTACAAATCCTCTGAGCTCATCCTAGCATTACTTTCCCACATTAAGCAAAAGAGTTAACGTAAAAAGCCTGTCTAGCTTCAGACATTATTCAGATAAAGAGAAGGAGAAAAAAGAAAATCCCTTGTCTTACCTCTCTCAGCTCTCCCCAAACCTTCCCTGACATCTTTGTTCTTTCAGACCGGCATTTATCTGAAGACATTGTCTAGTGCTAATTAAATCTTCATGTGAACCACTGCTACTTCCTGGCAGAGAACGTGCATTCTTGGTGTGCTGATGGACCTACATAATTTTCTGCACTTCTCCCTTATGGTGAGTGTTAGGCCTTGCTTGAAAACATCACAACTGTGTTCAACACAATATGTTTAAACAGAAATACAAAATTATTCAGTTTCTTTTAAAGAATGAAGAGAAACATAAGTGAAAATTATATTCCACAAACTCATTGGAAAAAAACCTGTGGAAACACTGGGCAAATAACGCCGTCTGAGAACAAGGAATGCTTTTGTTTTACTGTTGTCTCAGAAAGAGATAACTGGCAATGATATGAGCAACAGAAAAAATGTTCTTCCAAAACAAAATCTGCAGCTATCTCTTCCCCCCAGGGATAAAAAAAACGTTCTTAAAGTGCAGCCGAATTTTGCATTACGGGAAGTTGCATTATAAGCCCCTCACACACACCTAACCTTATCTGATGAAAGCAGCTCCTTCAGAGCTTTGTGTTCAAAGCCTCTAAGTTGGCAGCGACTGCTCATTCAAAGAGAGTGAGGGGATATAAGAGCTATGAAAACCTTTGCACTCCCGAGTTAGAAAGGCAGAAGGCTAGAAAAGCAGATTTTACTGCTAATGCTCCCCAACAATTCCTGAGTCTTAAGGAAGCCCCTTTAAACCACTTACTGATGCCAAAAGAACCTGACAATAAATAGATGAGAAATTATTGCTTTCCCTTTACACACGGTGTGGAAGTCTTGTCCAGGCAGCAAAGCAGCCAGATGTGGTCGGATGGACAAACACAACAAAGCAAATTCACTTTAAAATCATGTTTAACTTTCAGTGTTCCCCTTATTATCCTCAAACTCTCAGCACTTCTCTCCCTAACCAGAAGAAGTAAAACCACCCCAGACAGCTAAAAAAAAACAGCAAGCTATACATATGCTCCATATAGTCTGAGAAAGCAAGAGTCCAGCCATCTTCTAAGCACAGCGCGAGACTTAGCCATTTAAGGGGCATTTAGCTCTACACAGGGGTGTCTGAACATGTGGGCGAGGAAACTACTATAGAGGAACTTTGGGGGTTTGAGGCCACAACCAGGTACTCTGCAAATTTTTTCTACTTTAATATCCAAAGACACAAGTCTTCCATCATTCCATAAATTAATGTAGAATAGCTATAAACTATACATAGCTATACATTATACTATATATAACCTCTAAATAAGACATTACTGCTGCTTATGAAACAAATCAAGGAAACAGAGTATGGTTTCACTGGAGAGGGATGCTACTGAAAGTGCATTCAGCTGAATATCGCCTTGGCTTCTGGGACTGTATGCCACCGTGCCCGCACTGCAGGAACCTGAGCCAGTCTGTTGTTCTTTCCCACCACAATGTAAGAGATCTTATATTTCTTCAGGGCCTAAGAGAAGAAAGCAGGAGGCAATGACAGCCCAACCGAGGGCAAGCTATCAAGCTCTGCAGAAGTAGTGCCCAGGCTTTCTCCTGTGGCTCCGGCCATGGCAACTCAGACCAAAACCAGACTTGCCACAGTTGAGAGTGAACACATGTGTGGGAGGGAGAGAGGGAACAGACACAGCAACCCAGGAAGGCCTTGGCTAGCCGTGCAATAAAAGCACACTCAAAATAACCTGTTAATGTCACCAAAGCATGGGCAAAACCACAATTCAAGCTCTGGACTGAAAACTGAGGACATATTGATATCTCTAAACCACATCACCCTCCCTGCATATGCACAGGTCCAGGAATGTTTCAACACTTTGGAAAAAAAGGTGGCTGAACGACAGGGCTGCTCTGCAACAAGGTGCTCACATGCAGGAAAAGGAGCTGGGGGATGCAACAACTTTCCTTCATCCACCAACCATCTTGAAGCGGAGTCGCTCCCTCCTCATGACAAACAAGCCTGCCTAAAGCCACTGCTACCCCCACAGCCCTCGGCTGCCCACAGAGCTCCCCACACACCCTCACTAAGGCCTACAGCACCCACCAACCCTGAAAGCCCACCACCACCTCCCACAGCCCTAACCGACCCCGAAATCCCTCCTATCCCCAGAGGCCCTCCCATACCTCCAGAGCCCCCCCCAGATGCCTCACCACCTCCAGAGCACCCTACTGACCCCCAGAGATGACCACAACACCCAAAGACCTCCCCTGAGCCCCACATCCCCCCTCCATGGGCTCCAGAGCCCCCTGCGGACCCTCACAGATCCCCCACAGCCCCTCACCGACCCCCGGAGCCCCTCGCTGCCTCCGGAACCCCCCGCTGCCTGGAGCTCTCCACCCCCTCCAGAGGCCCCGCTGGCTCTCCAAGCCCCCCAAGAGCCCCCTGGCCGCCCTTACCGAGGCTCTGCCCCACCGGGGTGCTGAACGGGTTCCCCAGCAGAAACTCCATCTTGGGATGACAACAAACAGCGGCCCGGCGGCCCCCTCCCTCCCCCACCCCGCCCTGACTGACACCCTCGCCCACCAACAGCAGCTTGTTCTGCCAAGCGTGGCCCGCCTCCTTGCATTCGGTTGGGCGGTGGCTGGACACCCCGTAGAATCATAGGCTAAAGAGAGTGCCCATCACTGTCAAGAGAGGGGCCCGCCCCCACGGTAGTCCCGGCCCTTTCCACGCCCTCCGGTTGATGGACATCAGGGACGCCGCTACTGCCATTCTCCATTGGGCAGCGGCCAAACCATTCTCTAATGTTATTGAGCAAGAGAAACGTCAATCATTCGCGCTTCCTCCCGCCCCGAGGGCACGGTGCCGGCGCTGGTTGGCTGACACGGATTTCTCGCGCTCTGATTAGCAGCCAGCCTTCCCACCCACTCCCTGATAATTGGCGACTGAGCCTGTCACGTGGCCTCCCTTAGCAACGCGCCTGGGCTTCCTTGGCAACCGGGGCCGAGGCGCAGGTGGGGCCGGGCCTGGAGCCTTTGGGGGGTGAGAGGCTGAGGGGCCGGGATCCGCGCTCGGGTGGGTCTCGGGGGGAAGGCGGCCGCCCACCCGGGTCAGAGCCACTCTGACAGGCAGAGACAGGCTCCCGGTCCCGGGCCCTGCAGGGCCAGGGGATGGTGGGGACGTGGCGCCGCTGCCGGGGCCTGGGCCGCGGCTGGCTGGGAGCAGCAGCTGCTTGTCTGGGTGGCCCACCCCGCTGCTCACGCTGACACCCACGTTGTTCCCACTGGGTGCAGCGAGGTGCTGACCTCGCGGTGTGCTTAGCTCTGTGGAACCGACGTTGGCTAAGGAGTCGATGGACAAATACAAAGAAAGTGGAAAGTCTGGCGGGTCAGGAATGAATAAACCCACAACCTGCTACTCTTCGGTCCATACAGAGCACAGCCACGGAGAGGCGTGGTTTGTTAATTAAAAGCCAGGACGAGGACTGAACTGTCTAAACCCAGATGTTTATCCTTCTTGTCCTGTGCAAAAAATCAGCAGAACTTCTTCCATAATTACAGACACCTTACACAAGCAAAGTTCAAGGCCTTCACACTGATTCATTAACTGTGCACGGTTTTAGAAAGAGAAGTAGTCTCATTGCCTCCCGGGCAACATTGGGGATATTTAAATGACCAAGCCAGGACAGAAAATTTTGTCTGACAGAATTGCCCATTTCCCTAAGCAAAGGTGTTTGTGTGCAGTACTCTATATTGACTGATCTAGACAGCCCTTACTATGGATCTGCATTAAGTACCTTCTTCAGAAAATCACTATTACTGATTGTAAATTTTCCTCCTTCCTCGAATTTGGTTTTACTTTTATGATGATGTTCGTGTATAAAATCTAGTGAACTGCTGCTGTTAATTTTCCTATGGTATAAATATCTGCCTCTTACTCTATAAATCAAACTTGCCTATAACGAGAAACTTACCTTTTAAAACTAGATTAAATGGTGCACAGAGCCTTGAATATGCCCTCTTCATGTAGGTGGGTTTCAGCAACAGATGATTGCCATGCGATGGACCATTTCTGTTCATAGGTGCTGCACAGGGCCTCCTTTTCTGCTCTATTTATCTGGCCAAACTCTCGCATTCTTCATGGAGAACACTCAAAATGTGAAGTTTGCATATGATCATGCCTGGCCATTTTACAGGCTGTAAAACTGTGCTTAGAGTCAAATCAGTGACTTCGTGATAAATGTCAAGTCTGTCTTTGATATCAGCTATGAGGTATTAGATCTTCTTAGTGCTCAGCTGTGCTCTTAATTCCTTGGAATTATCATGCCTGTGCAATGAAGGCTGGCAATGGTAGCCAGGCAGTGATTTTATTTATTTTTCTTTTCTGTCCTTTAAGGCTGATACTGTCTAACAATGAATCAGTTCTATAATAGCATTGAGCCAAATGTTATTGATGATAAAATGGTTCAGAAAGCTGTTGAAGAGCAGTGTCCAGAGGACATAAGAAAGCTTGTCAAAAGGGAAGGTATTGACTTTAAGGATGTGACGGAGCTACAGCTCAGTTTCAGAAGTGAGTATCAGTTTATATACCTTTTTTTCTTCTTTTGTTAGAGGGCAATAGAATTAAGCATGACATGGCTAATTAAACAATCATGATTAGCTTGGATTTGTTATATGAAAAGTAACATCTCAACTTAAATTTTTACTCATACCTGTATGAAGTAGTTTAATTAGAGAGATCTGGGTGCTTTTGCTGATGGGTTACTTTAAAGCTGCTTAACTTTATGCTATTATTGTCACTGCTATTCTTATTTAACATTTATATTGTGGTGACACCTACAGGCCACAGGCCTATTGGGCCTTTCTGTACGTGGACAAATCAAACCCTGGGCAGGCTCCGCCATCCCTCGTGATTATGTGAGAGCTATTTGGTGGATTATGGTGATTACAGTCCAATTTGGTGGCTTCCTCCGGTCATCCATAGCATTATCGCAGCTTGCCCCTTACTGTCAAACCAGTCATAAAATTGCATTCAAAAAAACTAAAAGGAAGAACATTTGGCTCAGCATTTGAGTATTTTGGGGATATTTAATTTCATGGGCAAAAGTCTGCTTTTGATTACTCATTGCATGCTCCAGTAAAATAATGCGTGTATTAGTTGAGCTCCTTAGAGCAGGCTCCCTGTTACTTGATCCTGCATGTATTTGTTTGCAAATATAAAATCTAGAACTGTGTGAATATTTTGTGCATGCAATTCCTTGCTTTACTCTGCACTCACTAAACAATGATAGCAGAGAGCAGTTTAAAAAACCTTCTGGGAAGCCATTGCAGGGGGAAAGAGAATTGGGAGCGAGAATGCGCTGTATTTTCTGTCACCTTGGTCCTAATGTTTTGCTGTAGTTCCTAATGACCTGCCCTTGTGATTCTGTTTTTGGAGAAAGCTAAATGCGGGGATATTGATTAGCTCTAAACTGCAGCCTTCACAGAAAGAGTAGACCCCAACTTGCTCTCCTGTGATAAGAATCCCAGGAGCAGGAGAATAATTTACAAAAACAGTAGCTGGCTACCGCTAGCCTTCAAATGCAGAGAAAAGCAGACTCTCATCCCAAACCTCCCTCATGGAGCTGGAAAGGAAAGTGAAGGTCAAGGCCTCCTAGTCGTGCATTCATAAAGCCACTCTTGACTGCAGGGCCGTAGTCAGCATCCCCTCAGCGACTCGTTGGCATCACTGATGAGCAGTGTGCGCTGGCGCAGGACACTGAGGTTAACTGGGCTGTTTCATTGAAATCTCATCTAGTCAGTGGACCTCTCAGCTCTCTGGGGCAGCCATCCCGTGCTATCCTAATCTGCTGAAAATCATTTTGGAGGTAAGACGGGACATGTTTTCCTCATGCAAGATAGCATGTCTGTTAAACTGAACGCTGTCTCACATGAAAAGCAATTTGAGTTTTTTCCTGTGGCTTTAGATATCCTGCAGATTGATAATCTGTGGCAGTTTGAGACTCTGACTAAACTGCAGCTGGACAACAACATCATTGAGAAGATAGAAGCTCTGGAGAGTCTGGTTCACCTTGTATGGCTCGGTAAGATACAGGCATATGAGGCTGGATGCCTTCACAGGTGCAAAGCAATCTGCGGTAAAACCAGGATATTTCATTTCTTCTCAAACACGACTGATAGGAGCTTTCCCAGGGAAGGCTGTCAGCTGTCTGTGTGTTTCCTCATTTGACTGTCAAATGTCAAAATGCCTGAATATCAGAGCTGCAAAACAATCCTTCAGATGTTTAAAAACTGGGTGTAATACATTTGGTGTGGCAGGAACAGGAAGCTGAGATTTCAAGGTTGTTTCCAGGGTTTGTACTCGTATTTTGGAGGTGACTTTCAGAAATATTTATGGAAACACCTCTGTGATTTGGAAGCCTGCATTCTATTTTCAAAGCTAATTTCAGAGCCTAGAATCCACAGTCTTTACCCCTATAAGCTTAAGGACTTGTCATTGCTGTCCCAAGAAGTGCCCATCCTTCTAGTCGTCTGTGACTACTTTCAACTAAAAACTCAGGATGCTGAGAGCAGCATCACACAGTGATGCAGGGTTTGATGCTGGGTGGATCAGTGAGCTTCCTGCTACAGATACGTAGCTTAGAGCATTCTCTGGGAACTGCAGCTACATTGCTGGCAGGCAGTGTAAATATACCCTCAGCCGTCTTGGAAAATAGCATGCAGGGTTTGGTTTATAAGCACATCTTGAAATGTCTAATGGGTTCTTCTGCCCGGTTGTCTGCACTGTTCTGCTGCACAGATGACTAATGCACTTGTGAATCAACAGCTGATCACCACAGTGTGTTTTGAAGCACACTCTGGGGTTTCATTTGCCCAAAGGCCGTGGTGGTTCAGCAGCTGCTGCATGAGTGTCTTAGCTGTCCAGGGGCTGGGGTGATGCAGACAGCTGGTAACTTCATCGACTGTCTTTGAACTCCTCAGTGGCTCGGTACTGGCCTGAGGGCAAATACTGCCCTTAGTCGTGACAAATGTAGGTGTTAGGGTAGATGTTCTGGCAACATAAGAGGAAATACCAATTAATGAAATAACTAAAGTGAGTATATGCCTTTGCATACCTCCATTGACAACAGGGTGATTGTGAGCGTGGGACTGGCATATGTTAGTTTTGTGGGAATGACCATGACAGTGGGCATTGGTGTGGCAGGCAAGAGTCTGCAAGAAACAAGGAAGGGAGTGTCAAATGTCACAGAAGTACCCCGCTTTTAGGGCATTTCCCCACCTTTTTTCTTGTATTTTGTGTTCTATAACGTAGAAACTGCTTTCAGGTTGTATATGTGGACTCTGCATGGAATGCCTTCAACTGTTCTCTCATTTAAAAGTTGCACAGTTGCAAGGAAGAGATGTGTACGTTGCTTCCTGACCCAGAGAACGATGATTTAATGTTGAGCCTTTCCTGTGGGACACTGAACACCCCTGAGGAAAATATTCTACATAAACTCCTCAATCAAGAACCAGGCTAAATGCAAGGTCTGAATCAGGGCATCCTGCTGTAATTTAACTTTAAAACTTTTGATTTCTAAACTCTTCTCCAGACTTGTCCTTCAACAATATTGAAGTAATTGAGGGCCTGGATACCCTTGTCAAACTGCAAGACCTCAGTCTCTACAATAACAGAATATCTATAATTGAGCACATGGACACATTGCAAGAGCTGCAGATTTTCTCCATAGGAAAGAATAACCTAACCATTCTGGAAGATGTGAGTGCTCCCTGGTTTTGCAAATGTTCCCTGTCAAAGGATCAAATGTTCTAAAACTGACATTTGCCACTGTGTCTGAGCCCCTCCTTAGAGGAGAAAATTCTCCATAGCCTTTCACTGCCTCTCTAGTCTAAGTTATGGTTTTGGTAAGATGTCCCAGTGTTAAGTGCTTACTACAGCTGTTTCTCTTTTAGATTATTGACTCACGGGAGCCCGGTTCTGTTACTGCTATCAGCCATCATAAAATTCCTGTTGGTTCCCATGAAAGCTGGAAAAGGATTAAGTAGCTACGTGTGAGAAAAGGAGGGAAGAGAGACTAGGATTTATTTGGGTTCTTTTGAGGGCAGTTTACCAATCTAAGACCCATGATTTGTCCACTCCACCTGCCTTTTTTCTACACTCATAATTTATATATTCATAATGTGAACTTAAGTATTTAATTTCCTAAAGGCATTAGAAACTCATATTTTAATGTCGCCTGTGTTTGGCAGCAGAGCAGAATATGTCTTGCAATGTAATCGTAATAAGAGCAACAAATTTCAAGGCTGTATGTTTCCCCACCACTAGAAAGTACAGCATCTCTTTCCCCTCGGCATAGGTGATTTACCTCAGGAGGTTTAAAAACTTACGGACACTGAATCTGGCTGGGAACCCTTTCTGCAACGATGAGCAGTATACGCTGTTTGTTGTTGCTCATCTTCCAGACCTGGTATACTTGGACTTCAAGCTCGTGAGTGACACCACAGTAAGCATTTCTGCATTCCCTGCTTGTGCAATCGGGCAACAGCATCTTACAGAGCATTTGCTTTGTTGGCATGCCAGCAATATTCTAGCATTCGGGGCAGGTTCCCTGCAGAAATTAGGCTTACTGAAACATGCAGTGTTTATTCTGCCTCCACCTAACAGCTGTGAACCTGTAGGCCAAATTCTATCAAATCTGACAGAGAGGTAGAGGTGTCAGAGGCATGATGTCTTCACAGATTTTGTGAAAATCAGCAGCTGTGTGTGGGAGAGGGGCCTGGTTCATGCTGCCACAAAGAGGCTGCAGTGTGAGTGCAAGCCTTTTCAGATATCAGAAAATCTCCGAGGAGATCAGTCTTGAGACATGGATCCAGGGGAAAGGAGGCTTGGTGGTCCTGCTGCTCACTGAGCAATTTGTCTCCATAGTGGACTGACAGACAATCCAGGCAAGCAGGTGCCATCGAATGCACTTCCCACTCCTGATTTCTGAGAACAGGACAGTGCATCCCCACCAGTACCCCATGGGACTGCTTTTAGATCCCAGGGCTCAAAGGAAAAAAGAAAGTATTCTTTGTTTGGGGGTGTTTTTAGTAACAGAAGAACATGATTAATTGTAATTTTTCTTGGCACAGAGCAGGAACTGTAGTTGGAATATACATTACTCTTGCCATAGGACTGGAGTGGCTGTCTAGGTCACTGAGTCCAGTCCCTGCTCATACGGACAGTATATCATGGAACTGCATACTTAAATTTGTCACATTTCAGTTTCAAGCTAATTATGTTCTTGCCCCTGCTACCACCTTGCCATCCACTCCTCTGAAGAACCTTCTCCCTAGTAAATGTACTAAACTTACTAGCTGGTCAATCAGACCTCAAATTCTAGAGTTCGAAACAGGGCCTCCTGCTAAAAAGGAAAAGAAGATGAGGAAATGAGGAGAGAAAAGTTTCCCAGGACTGAATCAGCTCAGATGCATTGAATGCAGAGTCAGAGCAATATGCCAACAAAAAATGGGATGAGGAATGGATTAGAAACTTCCTAAGTAGTTTAATAAAAAACCCACAGAGAAATGGAGATGTAGATGTCACTCAGGTGCATGTTCTAGAAAGATCAAATTCTTATGCCCAGATTTGTTGAGTAGTGCTGGATAATCTAATGAAAATATTTTCTTTGTCTGCATTTCTCAGCGAGAAGTTGCAGTTTTAACGTATCAAGATCATACTGAGCCATTGGAACGTGAGGAGGCTCAGGCCTTGGCTGAGCTGGAGGAAAACCAGGCAAAGCAGAAAGAGCTGGAGTACCACAAGGTATGTTTTCTTTGGCTGGTTGTGTATTGTCTCAGGAGAAAGAAGCGCAACATTTATTGACTTCTCTTTTACCTGCTTGAAGATTTAATGAGAGCTTAACATCGACTGTGCTAAAAACTAAGGCTAGGATTAATCTCTGTGATCTCTGAATCTCATCTTTTGAATGAAAACAGGAACTGCTGTGGAATACATATGACGTGGGGGAACATAATTCTTTTGGCTGAACAATGAAACTACAGATATAGACCCTGCAAAGCTAAACAGTAAATCATACCCAAGGATTTTATCAGCCTGGCATGAGATTAAGAAAATTACAGGTCTGAGAAAACTGTTAGTGTTTTCATGGTGCAGTAACTTGTTTTTCTCCTTCAGCCTAACTTAATGCTTTTCATTAGTTTTATGGTTAAACTCTTCAGAGTTTTCAGAGATCACTGTAGTCCTGTGAATAAACTGAAAACAAGACCAGGCAGAACGGTGCTTTCAGTTATGGCCTGGCTCTGTGTCCCAGACCTCTAGGAGATCAGACCAGCTGAAGAGCAGGAGGCGGTTAAGTGACAGGGAGGACACCTGAAGCTTTTCCCTCTGTCCCTCCCTAAAGTCCACTGACTCCTTACCTGAAAGGCTTAATAGCCTTGCAGTATGTGGTTGTATGTGATAATGTCTTACATAAGATTAAACTGTTTTCTATCCTTAGGCTAGAGAGTTCTAGCAGCAAAGCCACATGTGAACCAGGATGGTTTTCACTCCAGTTGCAGGGTGCTTTCATGCCTTGGTTGGTATATCTGTTGTGTTGGTATCCCTGTGTCTGCACCAGTGTTCTTCTGCTGGTAAAGTGCTTATAGGAGAGACACATCCTGAGGACTGGCAGCAGGTTGGCACTCTTTGTTTTACTTATATTGCTCTGATTCTCTTCAAAGACAGCCTTTGTTGAGTACCTGAATGGATCATTCCTGTTTGACAGTATGTATGCAGACGACACAGAAGCTGCCAAACTGGCTTACCTCCCTGGAGTGGGTGACCTGCTGCAGGCATATCCTTCCTGGGTTTAAAATACCTACAGCTAAAATGTAATGCCTTGAGTTAAGAAGGAGGTGCATCCACGGGGACTCTTCATCCATTGCTTTTGTCCAGGGCTGAAAGCTACATTGATCTAAGATCTGAGACAGTCTGTGTTCAATTTTGGAATGGAACCAAAAAAACCACTGCAAGACTGTAAGACCACTGACAGCTTTAAGGCTTGATATCTCATGAAATATGAGGACTACAAACAAATGGTTTATATTACTGGCAAGCTGACCAACCCAGTTTGAAACAACCCGTTTGTAAAACTACTTGTTTCTATCACCAACAGGTCATGAGGTTGCAGTGTTTTAAATTCTCATCATTGTAATTACCATATTCCTTTTCCTTTACTTGAATCAAACACAGTTTTGGTAGCCTTCTTTTCTGACCCTTCAAGAATCAAGGCTTTGTACTTCCTTTAAGTCTGGAATCCACTTAAAGTTTAAAATGAGCTGTAAGATAAATCTCTGTCAGTTAGATTGTAAGAGCGCAGTTGCTAAAATCATGTTGAAATTGAAGTGGTAGGAGATAGGAACAGACTAATCAGAATGATATGAGCCGCATATCTCACAACCTGACAGAGCTAGCAACATGAAGTTTTCAGGCCAGCACTTTTTTCTGATCATCGCTCCTACACAGGGGATCAGAAAGCAGACACGTTTTTTTTTCCTTTTTCTTTTCTCATTCAGATTAATAGAGCATTGTCAAGGCCAGTAACTTGACCTTCCTTAAAATTGCATTACACTGTTGGGGAAAAATGCATCACGGCTTAACTACAATAGACTCTAGAAACAATTCCATTGCCAAGATAATAACAGAAGAAAAATTGACGTTATTTTTGTGATGCTACCAAGTCAGTAGTTTATTCAGTGCTCTGGCTGTAGGCTCCAGAGCTGTATTTATTAACTACACAGGCACTGTATTCACACTTGTGAAGACAGATAGGGTTGTATGCTTCATTCTGCTGCTGTGTCAGAAAAGAGTCAGAGAAGTCTATGTATTTCCTTTTCTTCCTCAAGGCCTTTTTCCCCTCCAGTTGCCACAGAATTCTCCATACCTTTAGGGTAGCAAAATCCTGTGCATAAAATGGGAATGGGTGACCCAGTCCTGCCACAGACAGACTACTTGGCAGCCGGCTCCCAGCAAGAACCACGGAGATGACATAACAGTAGCTTGTAACTCTTGATGCTCACATTTGCAGAGGTAGAAGGAACATAGCATGTTGCTCCACTGAACAAGCAAAATGCCTTGACTCTGGTGTCACATACAGGAAGGAGTTTGTCTCAGTTTGTGAGAGCCTATTTAACTATGGTCTGAAAGAATATGAAAAACGAGAAGCTGAAGTCTCTGATTTCTACGAAAGCCTTCACGAAGCATTAACAGCCAACCAGCAAGAAGGCAGGAAAATAATCCTAGACTTTGAAGATCGGAACAAAAGGGTAATGTTATACTTTTGTTTATTTGATACATGATTTCTCTACATCATATGCCAGCTTTTGATTTCACTGAGAATGAGGGTAACTCCATTAAAATTAGGAAAATTATTCTGGGTTTGCACTGCTGTAATAGGAATCAGTACTTGATCCCTAATGTCAGAATCGCAGAGTGGTTAAGGTTGGAAGGCACCTCTGGAAGTCATCTGGTCCAACCCCTCTGCTTAAGCAGGGCCACCCACAGCAGGCTGGCTGGGACCGTGTTCAGACAGCTACTGAATATCTCCAAGGATGGACACTCCACAACCACGCTGGGCAACCTCTTCCATAGAATCACAGAATGGTTTGGGTTGGAAGGGACCTTAAAGACCATCTAGCTCCAGCCCCCCTGCCCCGGGCAGGGCCCCCTTCCCCCAGCCCAGGGGGCTCCCAGCCCCGTCCAACCTGGCCTTGAACCCTTCCAGGGAGGGGGCAGCCACAGCTGCTCTGGGCACCCTGGGCCAGCGCCTCACCCCCCCCACAGGGAACAATTTCTGCCTTAGATCTCATCTAAAGTTTAAAACCGTTACCCCTCATCCTATCAGTTTTCCAGTGCTGTCACTGATCTTTCTCTACATGTTTCTCAAAGTATAAATCTAAACCAAGAAAAACTGTTGTGTTAGATAATATAATGTCATTAACTAACAGAATGTTAAAAGTTTTTTAGTACTTTATGTAGGAAAAAAATTTGAGGATAGAAGTTTTAATGCTTTGAGCAAACCACAGCTAGCTAACACTGACAGCCTTTAGCTATACTGGAAATTCAGCGTAGGACAAAATTAACATAGCGCAGTGCTATCTTATTATCCATAAACGTAAAGGGCCTTCAAGGCTTTACAGAAAAAAAGTGGCTAAACATGGTGGAGTTTTTACTTTTTTTTTTTTTTTTTGCCATCCAGTAAAGTTACCAGTCTTAAAGAAACCAGAAATGCTCAACCTTTCTTTTAAATATTTTTAAGTAAATGTATAGAATTTATCAGATTTAATGCTACTCCCCTTCTCTTTGAGGCCTCCAATAGCTCCTCATTCAATGAAAAACGGTGAAGAGAAGGAAGAAGGTTGCAGGGTAATCAGTTTGTTCTCAAGTACTTTTCTACTTCAGTTCATTTTGTCAACAACAGCTCAGAGAACTTAAACGGCAAAATTAGGTAAAGTTACTGTCATGTATTTCTAGTTTTTTTAAAGCAGAAACTATCTTTTTTCGTTCTGCTCAACTACAGCCATCCATTGTGGCTGCTAAGGGCGTAGCTTCTAGCTGGATCCCTTTCTGACCATGTATAATAGATGGATCATTATTTTGTTTCCACAGAAAAAATAAGGGGGGGGCTAAAGCCTGGTAACACTGTCAGCTGAGCAGAGCAAGTCCCTGACAACTGACACCAGGCAGAGTCACGAGCGCTGGTTCCCTTTGCAAACCAGGTCACTTTTATTTAGGTGCCTTGTCACACGCTGGCAGCCTGCTGAGTCACTCTGTGCCCAGGTCCTTGAACCTTGCTGACTCATGCTGGCAAACTGACTCCATCAGCTCTAGTCCGGACACGAGTTTGCAGGCTCACCAGAAGGCAACATACAAAGATTGATATGTATACTCAGTTAAATTGCACTCGAATTCCCAGTATTTCTTCCATTTAAAAAACAAACAAGCCACAAAAAAACCCACAAAACCTACCAGACAAAAAAAAAACAAAATCAGCCCCCCAAAAACATGGCTAAGGCCAGGTTTTGGCCCTTTGTCTTTGTCCTGCAGGCTCAGCTACGGTTTGAGCTGCACGAACAGGACACAGTGGTCAGTGTGACAGTTTTCATGTAAATACTGGAGGAGTCGGTGTCAAAACTGAATGCTGTATTTTAACAGCATTTCCCCACTCTCTTAAAATTGTCAGGGGAGTTCAAAAGGTGCAGAGGTCCCAGCAGTCTGAATTCTGTAAACCATTCTTGGGGGCTGTTTGTCTTGCTGTAATCCTTTCATGTAAGCTTGGGTAACCTGTAAAATAACTGCTCTCTGAAGTTGGTTAAGGAGCAAAGAAGCATTAAAGGCCTTGAGCTTTGAAGTTACGGCTCTCAGAGGTGCAGCTTGAATGGCTGGGGAGCTTTTTGAGCCTCCTAACTTGTTTACATTAGAAAAGAAGATACCTTGTGCTTCTCTTCCCTCCTTTTAACACTGCAAAGTTTGGGTAACCTAGTCTGTTTTCAGACAGAAATCTTGGCAATGGTTTTCATCAGAGGTCTCTATTTTAGCCCGTTCCACTCCCTCTGAGGAGAAGTGGATGAGACATCCTAAAACATGTATATTTTTTTTCCTCGTATTAATGTTCGATTGTTAACTTATTTTGAATAGACTTGAAAATAATTCAGCACAAGAGAATTTTTTTTTTGATCCAAGAAATCATAAATCTTGTCTGATACAAAACTGATGTCAATATTTAATTCTGAAGGGCGATAAATCCTTGCTGCAAGAGGAAGGCAGGCAATGATAGGTATTCCATATTCAGAATACTAAATCCTGACCCTACAGAAGTCAATCAAGATTCTCCTTGATATGAAGGGGATCAGGATTTAGGCCTGCATTTCTTTCTACAAAGTAATTGTTAATCTCTTCTTCATGGCCAGCAATGTCAAGAACCTAATATTTATACCTTTTTACTTGACACGTGCCAGAAGGGAAACCAAAGTTGGAAGCATAGAAGGGGCAAAGTCTTCTGCTGACTGGAGGATGAGGAAGCATTTTCACCAATTCCACTGCGTTGCCCCTGGATCGTTAGCGCAGTAGCATACCTCAGCACTGTTGACTACCCAGTATGTAAATCTGGAGACTTCCTGAATCATCACATTTCATTTCAGCTAATCAGCAGCAGGAACTTTTCTCACATATGTAACAAGTTAATTAAATTGCAACGGAGTGCTGAACACAAACTGTAAGTAATTTATGTATCTCTGTGTTTAGACGCTGGATGAGATTCAGAATGCCAGTAGTTATGATATTGCTGAGTCTAAACAAGCCGAGTACAAGGAGGACATACTTCAGCTGTCAGAAGCACTCATGACCTTGGAAATGCTGATGACTGACCAGCTGGAGGTAAGGGTCAAGCACATACCAGTGAGACCTCACATCCAGAACGTGGGGGGGGGGGTCATTTTTCTGTTGCTGCATCCCTCTGTTCAGCAGCCCATTGCACAAAGAGGGGGGCCTAGGTCTTCCAGTCAGGCTAATGTTTTGACTCCATCTTACTCTTTCTCTGCTCAAAGTTGATCTGGGTCAGATGAGGCCCTGGACATTGAGCCATTGCAACAGATTTCTGTTTCTCAGAGAAGAGAGCAGTACGTCCTCTGCATCTATCCAAAAATGATTTCCTAGACTTTAGAGACAGGGGCATGAGGCTATTCAGTCATTTTACAGGTCTGGGTACGGGAGTTGCTGCATAGCATGGGGTATGCATTTGGGATTCTAGAGGTGTAATTCTTTGAAGCTGATCTTTGCTATGAATAAGATTACACACAGTCCTGCTCAGCTTACTGCATTTGCTTGCATAATAGCTGGCTTTTTTCTCCCCAGTCTTTTCTTCAAAAACTAGGGCAGGGCTGCTAATGTGCATCTTCATTTTTTTTTTTTAATTTTTTTTTTTTTTTTAAAAAAGAGTAATCTGTTTAAAAATTAGCAGGCAGGACCTTCAGCCTGTGTGCAAGCATATGCAGCAGTTTACTTTTGTGAATGTGCATGACAAAAAGCAACAGCTCAAAATGGATTCCTCACTGGATCAGGATTGTGCCTTTTAGTGTTTTCTGAACTGGTCCTCACATATCTGCAGTCACTGATGGAGTGAGCAGAAGCATTTCTCTTTGGGTGGCTGTATCTGAACTGTTGTATCAAGAAATTTAAGTGCAACACTTCACAGATTCTCCATCAGCCATTTTTGAGAGAGGTAATAGGCAGCAGCAATTTTAATTTCTTAGGACTAAAATAAAAGCTTCAGTAAGCCCAGGCATTGGCTATGCTTCTGGCAAGAAGCTCCTCATACATACGAGGAGACTGCAGCAGGGCAGTGTACAGGAATACAGCACTCTGTGCATTACTTAGGTGAGGATGAAAAAGGATCTGCTGGCTTGCTCCAGACACCAGGTAAAGGTATCATTCAGTCAACGTCCCTCCAATAAACTGATTCTGATTTTCAGTCCCTGAAGGAGGAAAGAAAATCTTGCAGCCCTTTCAAAACACTTCAAATGCTTGAGGCAGTGCAGTTTCTGACTGTGCTAATAACAGCAGTGAGTCCAAATTATAATCAGTTGTAGATTCTTCCTAGACTCCCTGACTCCCTTTTATGTTTACGCAAGTTTTCATTGTATTATTTCCTCTTTTTTTCCCCTCTGTTAAGGAACTATTAAAGGATTTTGAAAGAAACATTGCTGCCATAGCATCAACATTCATTGAAAACGTTAAAGAGATATATCCTTTGACATTATGTTGGCCTGGACCTCCCAGTGATGTATGTATATCTCACCTCTAAATCCAGAAATGAGCCATCAGGATAGAATCTAATCTGTTTTATTTGTTTGTTTGTTTGTTTGTTTTTGTTTGTTTGGTTTGGTTTGGTTTTTTGTGTGTGTGGGTTTTTTTTGTTTTTGTTTTTTTATATCAACAGAAAAGGTCTTTTTCCAGCTTTGCAGGAACGGTCATTTAAGGTGCTCAGCTTCTTTCTGTGGAAAGCATAAAAGGATCTAAGTGTGAATTGATGTAAGGCTGAAAATGTGTAGGACTTAAGCAGCTTTCTCCCTGTTGGGAAACTTCCTTTCTTCTCCACACAGCCATGACACAGCCCGGGGAAGATCTGGTTAGACTGTTTTCTATGTACCTTTGTGTTGCAGCAGCCAATGAAATACCTACAGTTCTTGCTGAAGTTTCTTTAAACGGCCTTCGTTTTTGTGTTGTTGATGTCTTCTGGAACAAAGTAAGATGAGGATATTAAAGTGCTTCAGTAACAGGTTACACTGCTTTAAATATAGAAATCTGTTGGTCTGGTGCAAATAATTGCACCGTATTCAGAGCTTAGCTTATACCCTGGGGGGCTTCCCTCAATTTCCTCTGCAAAACTAGACCCACTCCCAGTTCTGCGTAATATATGGCAGTGAGGATGAGACCCAGTGTGCGATGAAGAGCAGGAAGTGTATATTCTGACATCACAGCAGCTTCTGGCAGCAGCCAGGCTCTTCTCTGCAGCGGCGCACTGTGTGGACGCTCGGTCTCTAGTTACAGGAGGTTATTTAATCTCTACAAGTGAGTGGTGTGGTCAGCTTTTTCCTTAACCATCTTCTCTACAATGACACAGTGCCGGGACCTGGAAAACCGTCACCATGGAAAGCTGCTAGAGATCTCCGTCACCACACTGGAGAAATCGGTCAAGAATGAGCTTGACGAGGATTTGCCAGATGATACTCGAATGGTGAGGGCACTAAAATTCATCTCTGCTAGGGAGTCAGCAAGAAGAGGCCACAGCCTCTTCTTAGAAGGGACAGGGTTTCCAGGAGGCTCCATGGAGCTAAAGCCATGGCTAAACCAGAGCATAACCTCCTCCCACGGGGCCCCAGGCGCTTGGCTGAACTGCAGTGCCGCCGGCTATTGCTGCTGCTCAGGACAGAGGATAACTGCACTGCAGGTTTCCCTGGGCACTGCCAGAGCTGGTGGCAGCAGCCCAGGAGAGGTGTCGAGCGAGTCTCTCTCCTGCCTCCAGCACAACTCACTTCTCTGGCTGATTTCCAGACAGCCCCAACCCAGCAGGCACTTAGGCAGCATCTTTGCTGCGCTTACAGCTGGTTTTGTTCAAATTCTCCCTGCTCCCCCCGGAGAGTCTGAACACCCCTCTGGTTTCCTTGCACCGGGGCTCTGTTTGCCTCCGTGATTTCAAAAGCTCACCCTAGAGCTCCACAGCCCATAAGCTGATCTGGAGGCAGGACCTAACATTTCAAACTGAGCCTTCCACTGAGCCCTCGGTCTTGCTGTGATAGCAAAGATCCCAGGAGCCTTTCAGAAAGCACAAAGATCGTTGCAGTGCTCCAGTCAGCAACACTGCTGACCTTTTTGCCTCCATTATTCCTTCCTTTAGTGGCTAAATGACTTGAGTTTTGCATTCGCTGTGGTTTTGCTCTGTCCAGATTATCCCAGCCCCCCCATTACTCCAGGTAATCGAGAGCTGACAGACACAAAACAGACCCCTCAGCCCCCCCGGGGCAGCTACTTGCTTTATGGCCTGTGCAGATGGCTGCAGTTACGCACCGTTGCTGTGCACCCATTTTGCCTCGCTGCCATCCATTTCCACAGAGAAGCAATCTTCATTTGTTCAACAGCTGCACTTGGCTGCAGGAAAGAGAATCATTACGGTTTAGCAAAGCCACCCTCTATTTAGAGTCACGGGGGAAGTCACTGCTTCGATTAGAAGCTGGGACTCACCAAAAATGAAGATTTACAGCCAGTGCCACCAGTGCAAGAGACCCTTCCAAGTGCGATTTTCCACTTCCCGCACCTGCTGGGCCAGACGTGCTGGAGCATATGCAGCCTTGCTTCAACACCAGCTGCCCGCAGGGGCCTGCCACGTGCTGCGAGGCAGCCCTGCCCGCAGCAGAGCCCCCAGCAGCAGGCATCTGCTCCCTGCTCTGAGCAGGAGAGCGCTGCCTCAGTTTCCCCACCCGTACTAGGGATAATCCTCCGCCGTAGGCAAGGCCCAGACGCATCCTCGTGAAGGGTGGAGCGCCTGATGACTACGGCTTTGTCAGTTTGAAACAAAGGTCTGATTTTCTTCCCCCCTACCCCGAGCACTGCAGTTACTGTGCTGCTAGTTCCGAGCTGCTTTCGCTGCGTGCTGCCCCCCCCCCCCGCCTCCTCCCCTCATCCGGTCACGTTACCTCCTTAGCTTCTTGTGAACAAAACCACCATTGTCAACGCAGTCAACACATCCCACGACATCCACCTGCAGAAGATTGATAAGCGAGAGAGCGACATCCTCAGCAACACCCACCGCTGGCAGGCCTCTGTGACAGAGAAGGTAAGAGACCCTCCTGCTCAGGGGGCTGGGGCACGGACAGGTCCGGCCCAAGCGGCGGGGACGCTGCCAGGAAAATTGCTCCTTAATTTTTGCTGGAGCCCTCTGTGCTCCGCAGACCGTGGCGAGCCTGTGGATTCACTGCTTGGTTTCAATCTGTTCAGGCTTTCCAAAACGAGATCAACAGAAACCGTGACCGTGTCAAAGAGATTGTTCAGTACATCGACAATCTCCAGGAGGAACTGGATAACGTAGAGATCTTGGAGCTGACGGAATAAGTCTGCCACAGGTTGGACAGCAGGGATGGCTGCCTCTCTGTGCCTGAACTGCCTGGGACATTTTAGGCCAAAGGCGTATTTCTTCTATCCCACCATAAACTGCAAATAAAAGATACTCATTGACTCTGGAAAAGCATATGAAGCTCTGTCTCTTCCATCATGTTGGCATGAAGCCCATGCAGACAGAGCTCAGACCTGGTCACAAGGGGTTATGGATCAGCTGTGAGCTGATTGAACCAAATCATTGTAGCATATCATCCCTGAAAGCTTTGGTACCTGCAAGCACAGTGGCAGGAACCTGTGAGGCACAGGCACATGGCAGCAGCCCGGGAGAGGAGCGTTCTCCATCAAACCACCCCCAAGATAACAGCAGGTTTCCAGCTCAGCAAGCACAAGGCTGGCGGGGGCTCTGTGTGCCCAGGAGCCTTGTCTTCTCACCGCCTCTCGCAAAAGCAGCTTTCTGCAGCGTGAACAGAGCAGCCCCCGGCTAGCAGGAAGGGAAATCAATGGTTCCACAGGAGCTCACACACCGCCGCTCGCAACCGCCAAGCGAGGAGTCATTAATTCCCCTCCTTGCTTGGTGACAGCAGCTGCTACGCTCACTTGTGGGCAGCTTCTGAGGAATGATGCTGGCCAGGGCGGTACTGCTCGAGGCAAGCAGCAAGGAGGAAAGGTGGGAAGGTTAAATGAGAGGGTGGCTGCGTACGCACGCTGGGGAGAGCCCGGGTCTCTCCAAAAGCCCCGTGGCTGGTGCTGCCTGTCGTGCGGATTTAGCACGTAGTAAAGATGGCAGGAGCCCAGGTTCTCCCTCCTCTTGCTCCAGGACTGCACGGTCGGCTCCCTGGTACTCCTTGGCTGCAAGGACAGAGCACCTAGCATGGCAAAGCTCATGTAGAGGGAGCAGATCTCTTTGGTAGTTAGTGTCTGCTCAGCTCTGCTGCGTGTTTTTTTCTGCCTGCAGCCATCCCAGCACCAGCCTGGTGCCCAGCAGCTGAGGACCTACACCACAGTTGGGTGATTAAAACAAAGAAACACTCAGCAGCATTGGCTTTCAGTATCTAGCAGGGGCGTGCCTTTAATCAAACAGAGAGACCCTGGTGTTACATACAGGCACACTGAGGGATGAAGAACAGATGCAATGGAGTCTGTTTTCAGATTTCCATAACAAGTGTGTGTCAGGAGCTGGCAGCTATGAAGACATGTGGCATATGCTGGGTACGTCTGTGCCGTGCCCTGCCCAGGAAGCTGTTTCTTTCATGGGAGCTCCTCTGATGAGTTACAGACACCGGTAATGGACACAGCTGCTGTGCTGGGGATGCAGAGGAAGCTCACCTTGACCTTTCTTCCTCGTGGGCTCAGAACTGCTGGCGCTGCACTGCGGCAGGCAGTACAAGGGAGGAGTTGCCCACAAAGTCACAGTTCCTCAGCACGAGGCTGATCCCAGGAAAGACACGGTGGCAGGAAGGTGGTTACCGTCCACTGGGTCACGCCAGCACAGCCGGGCCTTTTTCCTCCTGCGCCCAGCCCAGCAGCCTCAGTCCTGCAACAGCTTGTGTTTTACAGTCGAGCTCTCTGAACAGAGGTGAACAAAGAGAGTCCCAGCTGCCGCGCGAGCACGCAGCTCGCACAGATCATAGTCATGGGCCCACTCCACGCTGCCCCACCGCTGAATCTGAAGGGGAGGAGGAACGTGAGTCAGTTCAGAACTGGATTACGCTCAGCGACTCTCAGCCTCCCTTTTCACGTCTGTGAACACAGGTAACCCCCAGGAACTGTGCTGATCACTGACTGCTGGGGCAGGGAGATCTCCAGATGAGTTCAGTGGAAGGACATGCTTCATCTGTACTGGGGTCTGAGGCAAAGCCCCTTAAAGGGATGATGAAAAGATTCCCATCAACTTCAGCCACTTTGGGGTCAGGGAAAGCTTCACGCCAGGCCAGTTATCAGCAAGCAAGTTATTAACTTGGTGTGTACCAGGGCCTCCAGGTTGGATAACCCACAGCAAAAGAAGCCAGCCACAACTTTGCACTTCAGATTAGAGGGGCAGAAAAGCAGCCATCTGGGTTCTGCAGAAAGAAACTGGCAGCCCCAGGAGCACTCTGGGCTGTTGCACCCATGGCGTTGCTCTACAACTGCACACTCCAAACTCTCACAAATGGGGAGGGTGGCGGAGTGGAACCTCTCCTGCAATAGTAGGCATTTCCCTTGCCAGTTATTTGTGGTGGGAGATGCATTTGTCATGCTGAGATTATTGCTATTTGAATTATAGGGCTGTTTTGTAACATAATTTACCTGGTATTCTTCCTCCAGGCGAGACAGAAGCACGGCTTTCTCCACCGTAATGTGCCTGTCAATCAGACTCATGGACAGAATCAGAGATTTCAGCTGGGTGATTACGTATTCTATACCTGGAAGGGAATAACCCAAAACAAACAAGATTCATGGTTGTTTTCTGCAGCATTACAGCAGCATCTTCACATGCTCTGAAGAGACAGCCAGGGTATGGTACCTCCTCAGGGAGGTCACAGGGCCAGTGACCCTCCCCTTTGCATCTGGGCACTTTGGAGTCAGATCTGTGGTTAAGGGCAGACACAAAGTGCTGTTCTGGCCACTGTCACCGCAGTGACAAAGGCGATGCCTTGGAAACCGCCTCCTTTTACTCTGCCACAAGCCTTCCCTGTGCAAAGGGAAGAGATACCCATCCAGGCCTGAGTATTGTGGAGCTCAGCTGAAAGTCCAGGGTGAGAGGGACTCGTATACTGTTTGATGCTAAGAGAGCTGTCCACATCTCTAACCACTCCTCGAAAAACACTCTGCAAATGTGTGTGGTGGGAGAACTGTGCCGGCACCGGACACAGCTGCTGGGCTCAGCTGATAAAACAGCAGAGCTCTTTCCTGCCACACCACCAGCTAATGGCTTGCAAGACACTCCCCCCTTCTTCGGGGGAGGAGAGCCAGTGCCTGATGGCTGAGGGACCTGAGCAAATCCCAGAGACACACAGCCAGGAGGAGGAACAGGAGGAGGCAGAGGAAAGAAGGGCTCAAAACTCTGAGCTGCTGAGCCCTCACAGTTCAGCTCAAGCTGATTGGAAATGCAGGTGCCTGCACACGGGCAGGGTCTAAGGAAGGAACTAACTAAAGCCAGACTTGCCCTGTGCTACCAGTCTAGGCCAGACCTTCAATTTCAGGTCTAAAGCTGACTAGCCACTCAGAGGTTCCCCTTCCCCAGGGGAGACACATGCCTTTCCCCTCCACCCTGCCTAGTCATATTACAAATCACGAAGAAAATAAATGATTCATCAAAAAATGTCTTTACAGGGGAAATGGAAAGGCTTTGCAAGCCCTGTCCCAGGAATCAGTTAACTTCCCTTAGCTGCAAAGCTAGTGTCTTTTGTGGGTTTCACTGTCTGTTGCTCATTCAAGTCTTGCATTTGAGGACTTGAGCAAAGCAAACGTTACTTTGTTTCTTTAGGTGTCATTTAGCATTATCAAGTAAGATCAAGTGGGCTATCAGGGTCAAAGAGTGAGGACAGTGCACAGAACCACGGGCACTTGGGGTACTAAACCCCATTTCTTTTCCTGTTAACAAAAATGGGGACTAAGTCACTAGAAGGTTTGTCATTAAAAAAGTCTTTTTTGTGCTAGGGTAAAGCAAACAGCTTGCAGGCCAGCACAATCAGACATTGAAGACTAGTAGCACTAAAAGGAGAGTCCCTACCCTTAACAAATGCAGCTAAGGGACTGGCCTGGAGATTTAAAACATAAACCTCAACACTCCGATTATCTCAGCAGGAGAGGAAAACCATTACAGATGCTCTTCTCCCCCATGGAGAGGAACTGCTGCTTCCACCGGCACAGCCTGCCCGGCCCAGCCTCTCTCACCTTGCAGGGCCCACATGTTGTAGGATGCCAGATGGCTGACAAAGGTCTCCTTGGTGCTGGCTGGGATGTTTGGCCCCAGGATGCTGGTCGAGGAGCCAATTGCCACGTTGTACCTGGAACAATCACCCAACCCCCTTAGAAAAGCACAAGGCTCGTGGACCTTGAGGCTCTGACAGTCACAAGCACTAGAGCTCCTGGCCTCAGCCACGCAGGGCATAAGCAGACAGAAACATCTTTGACCTCTTACCTTTTCTCAGCCCAGCTGACAATGGGATCCCATTCATTCTTCTGCAGCTCTGCCAAGGCGGCTGGCTCCTCCACACGATAGCTGGGATATTGCAGAACAAAACCACACTGGCTGTTCACTCCCAGGCTGCCAGACTGCTGGGGGACCCCTCTGGGAAGGAAGCTGCCCCCCACCAGACCCCAGGAAGGGGGAGCAAGAGCCTACTGTCCACCCAGGCAGCAGCAGCAGCGACTGGAAACAATCCCCCCAACTCTTCCCTGAATTCAGAGCTTTTTATTGTTCCAGGAAGGACAATTCTATCTTAATACAAAACAGAGCAGCAAACTGGCCAACAGAAAATTGCAGGTAGCCCCAAGGCAGCCATGGGATGCTGTGAGGTTTAGCAGTTAGAGCAGGGGACATATCCCACTGGAACTCTTTACATGGGGTCACTCCTCCTGCCTCCCCTTGCCCAGTGGCTCAGCTTGGCCCTCCCCACTGCCAGCCTGACCAAATCCACAAAAGCAGATGAGGGGGTCCCGTTTCCCTCTCCCCACAGGAGCTGAGCAGCTGCCAGTGGACACCTCAGAGGCTGGGGCTGTGAGACAGGAACGTGGGCATGAATAGGCTTGATCCTGCAGCCCACAGGGACTTGATGGAACAAAGGGCATTTTGCTACTGGTAGAAATAATCTGAGCTGCCTGTACTGCCTCAGCCGTACCAGGGACTGAGCTGACAGATTCCTCCTGGCCTTTCAAAGATGTTTTTCTTTTTCCCCAAGGAGATCTTCACTTCTTGCTGCTCCCACCTTTGCGCAGCATGGAGGTGTCCAAACCAGAGTTCAACAGAGGACCAGATCCCCAGTCTGCCTCATACCCACGCCCTTCAGGTGCACAGACTTCCACTAGGTTTGCAAACATAGGACTGGCCTAAACTAATTCAAACCCTCGTGACAAAACCAGGACAGATCGGAGCCCTGCCGTGACTGGGGTATGGCAGACATTTTCCCTCGCTACCCCACTCTGTGCCAGCAGAGCCCCCATCTCGTACCAGACAGTGTCAGTCTCCAGGAACTTCACAGCCGCACGGATCAGCTGCATTTTGCTTCGCTGCGTGGGGTTGTCCAGCGCCGTGTTGCACAATGTGGTCTGTGGGATAAAGGCAGTTTAAACCTCTGTTTTTCAAGGCACAGGGAAGCAGCAGCTTTCACTGTACAAAGCCAAGAGGAAGCAGAGGAATTTGTGGCAGAAAACCGAGGAGTGCAGGGCCAGAGCATGGCTCGTGCAATAGGAATCTTCTCAGTGGTTTCAGAAGCCTCGGGAGCAAGCGCATCAAGCACCAGGGAAGAGGGTTCACAGACTGCTCCAGGGGTCATCATTTCCTCCTGCCCCTCACAATTCCAAATAACACTGTCCAGCCCCTTCTCAAATCCCCCCAGTGACACAGATTCTCCCCTAGACAGTCACCCAGGCAGTACCTAACCACCCTCACAACTGCAAGGCTTTCCCCTGCACCCAGCAAAAATCCTGACCTCTTCTCCCTGTTCCATGGGCATTAGGACAACCTGCTCTCTCCGTGTTCTATGTTTGGAGACTATTCTCATCTCTACATGGTCAGCCCCATTTTAGACCAAGCCATGCCAACTCTACTGCATGTACTCAGAAGAGCTGGGGGGGCAGGACAGCAAAGGAAGCATTCTCAGATGCCCCCATCTCATACATCCTGGTGCAAGACTTACACCCAAAGCGTATCTCAAGCCGTGTTTTGGAAGCCATTCTGCCAGCTGGCAAAGCCCTCACCGGGTGGCAGTGGCCTGGCAAACCCATCTTTAGCCCCTGGCATTTCGATTCCTTGTCTTTAATCCTGACTTCCTTGACTGCTGACTGCTCCCAGCACACTGCATTCTGCCCTGCCGAGGTCTCAGCATCCCAACCTGCCATGCTCACCAGGTGCATAGTGTAGAACTTGATGGTGTCTTTCTGGGAGTCCCACTCTGTTGCCACGGCAATGGCCAAGGCCTCACTGGGGACAGTGAAGAGCCTGGCATGGGGCGTTTTCAGCTTTCGGTGGTCCAGGTTTATTTCAAAGCCTCCTGGGGAATCAGAGTAGAAATCCTGGGGAATCAAAGAGGAGCAGGCACTAAGGAACAACAGACAACCCCACAGCGGGAGCAGAGCTGGAGCTGACGAGAGCACGGGACCAGGGATACTCAAGTTTCCCATCATTACCATCATTCTGACATACGTTTCCCCCTGAACAGTCTTGGAAGCTGTTTCCCACCACACAGCTTCGCTATCGATGAGGAAAGGGCACAACAGGCTGGTGACAAATACCCCACTCGCACAGCCTGGTTGCGGGTGTGCCACGCTCTTGCAGCGTGGGGTGGTAACACCCCTCCTGGGGACCAGCCCCTTCATCCTGACCCAGCAGCCGTACTCACCTTCTCCTTGTGAGATGCTCACGTTCTGGTAAAACCGCTTTCTCTCTGGGGGCAGAAACAGAATCATTCAGAGGGCAGTTAGAGGAGGTTCTGTCCCTTCCCCTGCTTGCCATCACAGCCCAGAACAGATGGAGCCCTCAGTGCTGTTCAGGTGGCCTGGCCATAAAAATCCAGCCCGTTCACCCTCAGCGTCCAAGCACAACAGCGTTTCAGTGAGCTCCACTCAGCTGGGAAAGCAACACAAAACTGGTGGACACCACATGGTTGCTTTGCACAACCAGCAAGTGAAGGGGACAAACTTCACTTCTGCCAGGCTGGGGTCTGAGCTCCCCTCAAACTGGCCTGCACTGAGTTTCTAGAGTCTGACAGGGGCAGTTTCCAAAGCAGACCTGTCCCAGCACTCCTGGAGTTTCACTCTGGGCTCAGTCTTTCAAGATTCTCCCACTGCAATCACGCTTGACAAATTAATCCCTGAACTGCCTTGGCTAATTCTCTCTTCCTGCTCGTTCTGCCTCAGAGCAAAAAGAAACCCAACAGAGTTAGAGGCAGGACAGGGCACCAGGACCTCTCTTCCCACCCTTGATGACAACAAACCCACCCAGCGCCAGCCCGCACGATCCCCCTCAGCGCATCTCGCACGTCCTCTGACCTGCAGCTGCTGGAAGAACCACAGCTGCCGCCAGGCTGGGAGCGTGCAGGGGCAAGACACGGTTCCCTCCACCCCAAGCCCCTGAGGGGCTGGGTTTATTGCGGGCACATGTGGAAACAGCTGGATGGTGCTGGGGACACATGGAACGCACTGCAGCACACCACTGAGTCACCAGGGGAGGAACCACCTCCTGCCCATGCATCCCGCTCCGGCTCAGGAGTATACCTGCTCCCCCAGCAAGGTGAGCCCAAAGGTCTCTGTTTTAAGAGCAGCCTCCTTTCCTACCAACACTGTTTCACACACTCCCAACACCCAAGAGCTGTATTACACGTGTTGCAAAGGCTCGTATCTCTTAGGCAAGGCAGGAAGAATCTGCAAGCCGTTCCCCTGATGGCAGCAAGCAGATTGTAAATCCTGAAACCATAAATCTACCTCCTGAAGGGTGAATTGAGCAGGCCAGGCTGCAAGTCTGTTATTCTAGGCTAAAAAAAGCACATTCCTGCTGGGGAAACGGAAGGGGACTTGCTCAGGCTCCTCGACCTGCAAGCTTTGGGGCCTCCAAAAACGTCACGTTAAGGCACAGTTTTGAAGATATTAATGTACATGTACCCCAGAGGAGTCCTGAGTCACATCAGTGGGCTCCTGACACCCCACAATGAGTCACTGTGACTCTGCAGCCTCACCTCAAACAGAATTAGACTAATTTTACTGTCCTCAAACCCACACGTTTTCAACAAAATCTGTGGAGGGTACACATGGCCCAGAATGTGCCTGAACCACCCCGGGCTGGGTCCCATCCCCGCGCAAAACCTCTAAAACACACAAAAGCAAACTGGCAGCTCGAGGACTTGGCCGTGCTGCCTGCAATCCCCACCCCAAACACTCCCTAACGCCAGGAGAAGGGAGCAGGGGGAGCCCCAAAACCTGAACCACATTGCCGGAGCCGCTAAAAGGTTTTGGGGAGCCCCCCTGAGGGAGGGGGGTGGGTGGGTGGCCGCTTCCCATGTTTCCACCCGCCCAAAGGGCGCCCAACCCCAGCGCTCCCTTGGCCTTGGGGTGACCTTGAGGGGTGTCACCGAGGACATGAAGGGGTCCCCAGCCCCGCCGGGTCAGGGAAGGGCCCCCCCGTCGCCGAAGGAGGCTGTGGGAGGCCCCGGGCGCTCCCTCACCTGCCGGCGGGGCATAGGCCCGGCCCGCGCTCTCGGCAGCGGCGGAAGGCGGTCGGGGTAGCTGCGCGGGGGGAAAACGGCCCCACAACAACCGGCGGCACCCGCGCCACATCCCGGCGAAGAACGAAGAACGGAGCAACCAAGACCCGGACCAGCTCAGCGCGCCTGGGTGGCCGCCGCCATCTTGCGTCGGGCGGCCAATCCGCGCCGCGAACGCGTTTTGCCCCTTGGGCCGCCCCGTCCCCGCCGGCACCGCCCGAAACTACATTTCCCAGCAGCGCCCGCCGGCAGGAAACGCGTTTTCCGCGGCCAGTCAGCGCCCGGCACCGCCCCTCCCGCAGCGCCGGCGGGGGCCAATGGGAGCGCGCAGAAGCGCTGAGGGGTGGGCCCTGAGCCAGGCGGCGGCGGCGGCGGCGGCGGCCTCGGCGTGAGGGGAGCGGAGCGGAGCGGAGCGGGTGGCCTCCCCCCCCCCGCCCTCCCCCGCCCGGCCCCGGTCCACGCTGGCTCCCGGGGACCCCCCCGAAATGCCGGTGCGGAGCGAGAGGTGCCGCGCGGGCGGAGCGGCTGGCTCGGCCTCCTCGGCGCCCTCCGGTGCGGCCGCCAGCAGCCTGGTGCCGCCGCCCCCCATCAACACGGCGCAGCCCGGCGTGGCCACTTCGCTGCTCTACAGCGGCGCCAAGTTCCGCGGGCAGCAGCGCAGCAAGGGCAATGCCTACGAGGTGGAGGTCGTCATGCAGGTGAGGGGCCTGCTGGCGGCCGCCTCCCCGCTCCCCTCCCCACCCCCCGGGCCCGGCGCTCCTCAGGCCGCGCTCCCCGGTCCCCTCAGGCCGCGGCCGTCCCGCCTCATTCCCTCCTCAAGCCGTGGCCGCCCGGCTTCCCGTCCCCTCAGGCACAGTCGCTTCTCCTCCTCCTTCCCCTGCTGCCGTTCTCGCCGCCCTCGTTCCTTTCAGGCCCCGGTTGACGGCTCCCCCGGCTCGCATCGGTGTCTGCCCTCCCTCAGGCCCCGGACTTTGTGCGTCCCATCCCTTGAAGTGGGGGAGACCCCTTGCCTTTAGTCCCAGCGTTCCCCATTCCCTCTCAGCCCCAGTGAGGTGGGACCAGGGTGATGGAGGCCTTAAGGGAACTGCTCCCCTCAGGCCTGGAAAGCCCCTGCCCCCCTTTGACCTGCCGGTGCCTCCCTGTGATTCCCTTGGTTCCACCAAGCCCGGTAACGGCTGTGAGTCCTCAGGCTCTGGAGAGATCTCTGTCCTCCCGTGTGTATTCCCTTCCTTTCACAATCAGGGGAAAAGACCGTGTTCTATTCCCCTCAGGTGAGACCCTTTTCTGCCAGAGCTGCCTCCTTGCTCCCTTCCCCTCAAAACTTGAGGAGGGTCTGCCACACTCAAGCCTTTCCCCCTACCACCACCTCTTTGCCCCATTCCCCTTGGGCCTGGCAAGGTCCATAACCTGGGATCCCTTCCCCATTCCCCTCAGGCTCTCGGGTGGCCTTCTGCGCCACAGGGCGGAAAGGTAAGAGCCTGGCTTAGAGTGGGTGTTGTCCTGGGAAGTCCCTGCCAGTGGGACAGCCTGTATTTCAGGCCTGGCTGGATATCAGCAGGGATCCAAGTCCCATTCCCTGGCTGGCAGAGACCTGGGACCCAGGGTTTCCCCATCCCTGGTGTGTTGGGGGCTCCCCCAGGCTGAACAGGGAGCCTAGGATGAAGTGGGGTGATTCGCCTGGGGCAGGAAGGCAGCCAGACAGCTGTAGTCCCCAGCTGTGCTGGGGAATTGGGACGCTGGCTCATGTGGCTCTCCCATTCCTCCCTGCAGTCATTGTCACCCTGCATGCTTTATTTTTAGTCCTAGGCATTGGCACGATCGCTCTGGGCAGAGCTGGCGAGGTGTGGAGTTGTTAGGACGCGGGCAAGCCAGACATATGAGACATGCTTTCCTATAGAGCACTCTGCAAGTCACAGCTTTGTTCCCAGTTTGGTGGCACGGGATCTGGGCAACCAGGGTTGAGCCATGTTGTAGCCAGTGCAGTGATGAAGCTTGACACGTGTGCCAGTGCTGTGGAGTAGTGTCAAAGCCCCAGGGTCAGCAGATGGGGTAACATTTGAACCAGACCATCTGTTTTCACCTACAGTCCTCCCCTTGTCGACAGCACAAGCGTACCTGGTGCGGTTTGCTGTGGTGGGGACATCCTATGGCTGATCAGCTTCACTGCACGCTGCCTTCTCTCAGGGGCTGGCTGTGGCTTTGCGCTAAAAATGCTGCTGTTTTGCGCGTGTCAGCTGAGAAGAGGTGGCTGCCTGCTCTCCCGGGGCTGAGCGCAGAGAAAAGTCGCTTTTCTTTGATCACAGGTGGGGAAGATCCATCTTCTCACAGCTGATGTTCACACTTCCCCAAATAACTCGCTGCTTGCTTTGAAAACGGATCTGGAGATGTTGGGAAAAAGCTTGGAAAATCCCCTGGTTTTAAAGGTGCTTGGAACAGACGTAGCCCCCCGCCTAGTTCCTGCACAGCAGAAGCAATGAGATGCAGCCCTGTAACTCAACAGGGTGGCCGTAAAAGCGTTAAATCTGTGAGAAAGTCCTCTTTCAAAACACACGAGGCATCGTCTGGCTTCTGAGCAGGCTTTGGCATGTGCTAGGGTACTAGGCAGAGAGCATGGGTAATGTGTTAGGTGTGAGTCAGGCCTGTTAAATAAGCAGACAGTGAAGCTCAGGGCCAAGCTTTCTTCCTCTAGCCTGAATTATCTTCAGTAAATAGATGCTTTTTGCTCTTCTTTCACCTAAACACCAGTTCACTGGTAGTGGTTGACTGGGAAATGTGGGGGCTGGGGGTGTGGGTGATTCTGCTGGTGGTGTTCTCGCTTGGAGAAAAACTGTGAGTCTGCTTCCTTCTAGGTGGAGGCGGGGGGGGTTGCTTCTCATCAGAGGCCTCTGGGTGGAGGGTGCTGCCTCAGTGAGATGGAGCCGGAAGCCTGAGGGGGTGTTGTCAGGCCTTGGATGTGGAGGTTGTCAGAGGTGAGCTGGGCACCTGTAGATGATCTTTCCAAGTGGTTCCCAGCTGTGGAGAAGGGCTGCCAGTGTGAGTGTTGAGCAGTAAGCTGGATGGTCCCTACCGATTGAGGCTGAAGTTACCCTTGGAGGGGTTAGAAACTGCTTTGGATCAGTTGGGTGCCTTCATGCCTATGCTTATGGTTGGACTTTGTGCTCTTTTCTAGCATGTGGACATGGAAAACTCCTATCTCTGTGGATACTTGAAGATTAAAGGCCTTACAGAGGTGAGTGTTAACTGCAAAACAAGAAAATAAGGTGCTGTGTAAATGGTTTTCTATTTCCTGGTGGGACGGAAGCTGCCACCAAAAGTGGGAAGTGGAAGGATTGACCATACAGTGGATTTGACCACTAAGTAGTTTAATAGCTTCAGTCTGTTATTCTTGGCACATCGAGCACGTACGATGGGCCTCGATGGGAGTCTTGAATGAGGGAGGCTTATCTGGCATCCCTTAAGGTCTGAGCAGAACTGAATCTGACCCTGCAGTCAGCTCTAGGCGCTCTACCAGTGGTGGTGTGTTGCTGAGAGAAAATAATCCACAACTCGAACAGTCAGAACTTTACACACTTCCCTCCCCATCCATCCATCCTCTGAGGTTGCTCGTGGTGGCGGACAGTCGGTGAGAACTGTCTCGCAGGGGTGATGCTGCTTTCGGCTGCAGTGCACCGCGTGTCTGTCATTACACGGGAGCGCTTGGGGAAGCTCGCTCGCACCAGCCGAGTCTGCTATTCCCCGCCTGCGTTCTCCTCATTCAGTGCCAATGCAGAGCTGAAGGGGGGAGCGCCTGCTCCCCTGGGGGGTGGCTCAATCCAGCCCTCGGGCTTTGTAGCAGTCACGCAACAACTGCCGGGGAGCGGTGCTGGCTGTAAACGGTTACTTGTGGTCACCCAGCTGGGAGCTTCCCCGCAGACCAGCTCTGACAGGGCTCCTTCTGGTTTCATGAAGCGAATAGAGAAGCAGGCTGAGGCTGGAATGAGAGGGTGGAGGCTGTGCGTGCGTACGAGTCAGACTTTAAGAGGTATGGGGCAGGACGAGACAGCGTGCTGCTTGGAGGGACGGGAGCACCGGCCTGGGACTGCCTGGAGCTCTCGCTGGGAGATGCTGCTTTTTTGCTGAGCGCGTGCACCTCTATCTGCATTTGAGTTTCTGTCTCTAGGGGACAAATCTTCTGACTTCTTGTTTGTCTCCCTTCTCTCCTAGGAGTACCCAACCCTCACCACTTTCTTTGAAGGCGAAATAATCAGTAAAAAGCACCCTTTTTTAACGCGCAAGTGGGATGCTGATGAAGACGTGGATCGTAAACACTGGGTAAATAAATCTGAGGGGAAGATGTGGGTCTGATGCAGTCCTGGCTGAGCAGCTGGTTTGGAGGTGAGGTGCAGCGTGTGCCCATGCAAGAGCTGTCAGAAGGGCCTGGAAACCTCTCCTTTTTGGGTGTCTCCCTCCTTCCCTCACTGGGATCTTTGCAACTGGAAGTCCCTTCAGCAGGCTGTTGGCTGTGATTCATGAGAAAGGAGGGGACGTCTTGTTTTCCACTTGCTGGCCCTCAGGGTTGGAAGGAAGCAGGAGCAATCCCTGTCTCCTGACACACCTCCACCCCCTGCAGAGAACACGCTCCTTATTTTGAAGGCTTTATCACAAAATGGAGTGGAGAAGGGGAGCGGGGCCAGTCTGGCATGGGCAGGGCAGTTGGTACCCATGTTTCAGCCACCTCTGCTCAGGGTAGGGGACGTCTGTCTCTCTGGATCAGGGCCACAGCAGCCAGCTGATTTCCCCCCTGCCTTGGCCTGTGCTGTTGTTTGCCAGACTTTGATGTTTATTATGTTTCTCTCGAAATATCTTCTTCTGGAAGTGTAGGAGCTTCTCCATCTGGGCTGGACGTGGCTGTGGGTGTCTGGCGATCCTACGTTCCCCTGTGCGAGTCCTGGGGTGTGTGTTGAGCATTCCCGCAGGAGAAAAGCAGCCCCTTTTTTGAGGAAAAAGGGTTCTATAGCAGTTTTTCCCTCCTAAATAGCAGCTGGCACTAGTGAAATCTACTCCTGGAATAAGCATCCTGATTTTTTTCTTTTTTGTTTCAGGGGAAGTTCCAGGCTTTTTACCAGTATGCAAAAACATTTAACTCTGATGACTTTGATTATGAGGATCTGAAAAATGGGGACTATGTCTTCATGAGATGGAAGGTAAACTCTGCATGTTTCCTTCTCCAGTGAACTGCTCACAAGTGACTGACAGAGGCTTGTGGTGCCTGAAAGCTTTTTCAGCTATAATGGTTTAATGAAAGATCTCACTCTACCAACCTCATAACCCACCATACTTGCAAATTCCAGTGTGACTCCTGTCTAGCCAGCTAATTGCATTCTTAAGGGCTGCAGTCATGCCTGAAAACACAACGAGAAAATCTTGCTTGGTGGTGCTCCAGAGGATGAGAGAATTGGTGACTCCAGTCCCTATGTGGGGCCTATGCGTTTGATGCAGACTGGCCAGTCTGCACCTCTCTGTTCTTCAGCTGGATTGATTCCTCCTCCTTTACATGAGCCTTGTGCAGCTGCAAGGCAGGGAAATTGTAGGATCACAGAATGCTTTGTGTTGGGGGAGACTTCTGAAGATCATCTAGTTCCAACCTCCCCACCATGGGCAGGGACATCTCTCACTAGACCAGGTTGCTCAGAGCCCCGTCCAACCTGACCTTGAACCCTTCCAGGGAGGGGGCATCTACCATTTCTCTGCAGCATGTCCCAGCATTTTGCTGCTCTCACAGTAAATAATTTTTTCCTCACATCTAATACAAATCTACCCTCTTTCAGTTTAAAACCATTACCCCGTCTTATCTCTGCAGGCCCTGGTAAAAAGTCTCTCTCCATCTCTCTCGTAAGCTCCCTATAAGTATTGGAAGGCTGCAATAAGCTCTCCCTGGAGCTTTCTCTTCATCATCAGATAGCTCGGATTCCTGATTTTGCAATTGGTTTCTGGCTTGCAGGGGGCAGGTGTTGAACTGAAACTCATCTCGGGCACTTTTAAAACTGGTTCTTTTCTCAGTTGTCTGCTTCCCTGGGTGATGCCTACAGGGGCAGGCGGTGAAAGAACACGCTGGTCTCTGCGGTCTGGGCTGCTGCGGGTGGAGGGAGTGCTCAGCCAGGAATGCCTTCACGTTAATGGGTGCCAATATTCAGTTTGGAAGGGCAGATTGGTGGTGGTGGTGGGTGTTTGCATTTGACCAGCATTTTAAAATATAGTCTGTGTTTTGTGTGCAGGAACAGTTCCTAGTCCCAGATCACACCATCAAAGACATCAGCGGTGCTTCCTTTGCTGGTTTCTATTACATCTGCTTCCAGAAGTCGGCAGCATCTATAGAGGGCTATTACTACCATAGGAGTTCAGAATGGTAAGGAAGCTTGCATCCTCCTGTGGACTGAAGGGTGGCTCCTCAAACCAAGCAGTGACTCCTCTTCTGCTTGTCTGCAGCCTTGGGAGTGTCCAGGCGGTGCTTCTCCGGACTGGGAAGGAGGTTCAGTCTGGTGTCTGGACCTCGGGACAGAAGGGAGAGGAGGGTGTGTGCCATACTTGGCCAGAGCAGGCTAGCGCAGCCCATTTGTGTGCTATAAAGCACTGCCCTTTCTGCTCGGTGGGGGATAATCAGGCTGGCAGGGTGGAACAGGGGAGATAAAAGGTCTGGAGATGTGCTGTGGCCTGGTGAAGCAATGGTCTGGTGGATTGGTGAGGTACACTGGGAGGCAGAAACCAGCTGTGGCTCACTAAAAGCATCCCTCCAGTCCAAACGCTCGCAGGGTGTGCCAGCTCCTGCCCTCCCATGGTGTAACCCCGTGTAAGGGTTGTGCTCCTTCAGTTTGTGCTTTGCTCAGTGATTCAGGCTTTGAGCTTCTCCACGCCTTGGCCCTTCAGAGGATAGCGGAGGGGCCTTTGAGAGGGAGCTTAGTGCTTTCTCACATGTAACAGCTTGGCTGTTGCTCCCTTCAGGCAGAAATCTTGTTAGGCCAGTGCTTTGTAGTCCAGGATCCTTGGGGTGTTGCTGTAAGACAAGGGAACAGTCAAAGTTAATTGGCTGGTTTCTTGTTAGAGCCAACTATCTGACAAGTAACTGTGGAGAGCTCTTTCCCCTCTGACAGCCTTGGATATTTGTCACGTGCAGCAAGTGGCCCTGTAGGGTGGCTGGAAGCTCTTGTGGAGGGGAAGGTACCCGGGAGGCTTTCAGACAAATCCCCTCAAGCTAAACTTTGAAAGACCTGAGTGTAATTTGCAGCTTTAGCAAACACCGTTTGAACATGAAAGTTGTTGAACTTCAAAAGGTGTCCAAAAACCAAAGTCAGCCCACCTCGAATGCCGCCTGGCTGCAGGTGGCTCAGAGGCACGGGAATGGAAATGAGGAACGATGCTGAGTCCTGACGGGGTTTTCGGAGCAGGGGTAAGCGGGTGTTGGGTGCCTGAACACCTCTGAGACTGAAAAGGGGAAGGGAAGAGCCAGCCACCAGGTTGTCTGCCCTGTTCTGTTGCTCTATATAATCCTCTCATCTGTCGTTTCCCCTCTCTCCCAGGTATCAGTCATTGAATTTAACTCACGTTCCTGAGCACAGCGCTCCTATCTACGAATTCCGATGACAGCTGTCCAGAACTGATACTGCACAGAAGCAAACCGGGCAGGAGAGCATGGCCTGCCAGGAGAACTGTGTCCCTGTCGGAGCACGGGAATGCACGCTTCTCTCCTGCCCCTCGGACTCGTGAGAGAGAGCCTGAATGTTAACCCACCCAGCCCAAGGAGCGTGGCTGCTGGAGCTTGATTCTTCCTCCTGTCGAGTGGCGATTTGATCTTTAATCTGGTTTTAAGCTACTTTTAAATGCACTTTCTTATTGCACAGCTAGTTTCTCTATCACTGAAGTTCCTCCCGGCTCTCCTCTGGAAGCTGTTTCTCAGTAGCTGGAATCAGTGGTCTGTCTTCTGAGTAATAAGAAAATATAAGCTCAGTGCTTATATTTTCATTGTTACAGCCTGATATGGGTTGAAATCGCCAGGACTCAGGTTTGTTGCCCAGATTGCTGGCTCTGATGCTCCCAGAGCCGGGTCCTGTGTGTGAGGCTCTGCTTGGCAGAGAGCTGCCTAGCTGCAGAGTCTGTTGGGGGAGTGTTGGCTGAGAAAGATAAGGCTTGAATGAGTCTTTGCTTTGTGCTGGCTAACGAGGTTAGCAAGAGCTGCAGATCTTTCAGGAGCTCCAGCCCTTTGGAGCTGGGAGCTGTTCCGGTGTCTGGATACGCCACTGGGAATTAATTTGATGTATGGACTTCTAGGCTCTCAGTAAAGTGGATCTGAACTCTGCTTATAGGTGTATATTTGCTCTTTACTTAAGTTAAGGGTAAAAAAGGAGAAAAAAAAAAAAAAAAAGAAAAAAAAAAAAAGGACTTTTATTAAAAAAATATATATATTTTTATGGTTCCTTTTCCAAAGGACCCTATGGCAAATGCACAAGTACTCAATTACATTTAACCGTTTTCACATTGAAAACTGGGAATGTCTGCGTTAGTTTTTATATACGTGTATGTAATCAGCTAGCTGCTTTGGGAAAGTAATCAGAGTGCAAGTGCTGAGCAGCGTTGCAGGGACAGCTCTGGGACTGTTCAGCATTTGTACTCGCTTCATGCTTCACCAACACCACTGCTTGATACCTTTTTACAAGGCAAAAAAAAAAAAAGAAAAGAAGAGGGGAAAAAAAAAAACAACAAAAAAAAAAAAAACAAAAAAGAAACCCCAGTAGCTCTCCTCTGACTTTGAAATGTTTCAAGTGATATAACTTAAGGCTTGTGTGCCAAAGTGTGTGTGTATGCGTGTGTGGTGGTTTTTTTTTGTTTGTTTGTTTGTTTTTTCTTTTTTTTTTAAAGACATTTTAAAAATTGGCCTTGGTTGTATATTTAATGTGACAGTCCCACCTGTGGGGCTTTTGTGAGAGTTTAGTTTGCATTTTTCTGGCTCTTTTAAAAACAACCCCCTTACAGCAGGCTCGTATCACCAGGTGGGTGTTGATGGGTTTGCTGCCCGGGAGGGGAAAGGGAAGCCTCCGCGTGCCTAATGCCAAGGTGGTTTGTTTTTTCTTCTTTTTAACTAACTTTCTTCCTTTCAGCTGCCTGTCTGGTTTCTTGCAGCAGCCGAATTGCTAGTTTAAGCCTTAACAAGACAGTATTCAGGGCTCAGTGAGGCCATTTCTTCTATTCCAAGCCGGGATCTTGCGTGATCGGAGAAGCGGCTGTGCTGCTCTCAGGAGATGATGCGGAAATCGCCCGCCTCGCGCGTGCTGTTCCCCGCGGACGAATCCCTTTCCCCCGGCGCAGAGACGCCTGCTCGGGGGGAGAAAGGGGGAGCCCTGGCCCTTCTGGAGGGCCGGAGCCCCCCTGGCGAGGAAGGAACCGCGCGCTGTTGTCTTGACCTGAGCAGGTCGATTTGTAGAGCAGCCTGAAGGCGAGCGGGAGAGCGATTCGAGGCGCGACGGCCGAGCGGTTGGGAAGCGGATTCCCATTTCATTTTGTTTTGCTGCTCTCGGAGAAACTCGGCCCCTTTAGCGGCGGGGAGAGGGGCTTCCTCGCAGGCACCCCCTGGTTTTAGAGGTGAAAGCCGGCGGGGTTGCTCTGCTGTGATCACCCATGGGGGTGAAGCCTCCTCCCGGGTGCTGTGTGGGCGCAGGACCCAGCTCTTCGCAGCCCTCGGAGCTGTCTGTGTGCAATATTGTCACCGGGCTCCTTGCGCTCCCCAGGGCTGTCAGTGCCAGCGGGACACTTGGGTTTCTGACGTGGTTTAGTCAAATGAACACTGGCTGTTGGCAGAAGCTGAGTCAGGAAGTGTCCCGGGGTTGGTTCATATGTATAGTTACCCCAAAACCTCTAAAGTTGTGCTTTGAGACTTGCTATGTTGTGAGGAGGGTGTGCAAGGAGCATCCTGCTCGCTGCCCGTCTCCTTCCTGCTGTCCTGGAGCCAATTTCGGCTGAAATCCCAAACTAATTTGCCATCGGTGATGGGTGATGCTGCCCCGTGGGACGTGTGTGGCGGGTGCAGAGCAGGTCGTGGAGCCAAGGGGTTTACAGGGGCTGTTGGTGTTCGGAGCTTCCTTCCTTTAAAGGCTTCGTTTTGGTTTTCTTCTTTTTTTGACTTGTTTGATGAGCTGAGGAGAGACGTTACGTATGTCGCAGTGTGGTGAGAGAGAACTGACCAAGGGAGTATCTGGGGAGGGTCAGAGGTAAGAAATGGGGTATTTGGTCTTGGAAGAGGTTGCAATGTCTCTTTTTAACCACGCTGGCTGCAGAAGGGATGTACTTGTTGGCAGACAGAGCGGGGGCCGAGACAGCGTTTTGCAGAGCAATCCATGTCCAAATTAAACATGAAATGTGCTTAAGGGCTCTGTGTCCGTGTGTGTTTGTCGACCAGAGTGTTTCGCGGTTCCAGAGGAGAGCTGTGCTTCATCTCCTCCCTTGAGAGTTGTTCCAGGAATCCAAAAAGCTGCTGATTGCCTTAAACGCAGGATCTGGCCTTAATTTGAGGAGCCGGAGAGGGCCTGGCGTGGGGGGCTCCCCCTGAAAACCCCCCTCTTTCATAGCGCTTTCCCTCTGAACAACTCCCATCAGCTTGCTCCTTAGCCTCATATCCCGGGCAGCTCGCCCTGCCGGCTGGCTCCCGTGGACACCCCCCTCCGTGGGTTCCCCCACCCGTGTCCCAAGGGCGACGGAACGCGGAACGCGGGGGCGCGGGAGGCGGCCGGAGCGGCGCGGCGGGTGCACGGCAGCGCCCGCCCGGACGCTTGAGGGGGACGGACGGGCCGGGACCGGCGGCGCTTCCGGTGTGCGGCGTGCGGGGCCTGGGGGGGGGGGGGGGGCGGGAAACGGGCCCGGCCCCCGCCATGGGCATCCTGGAGAAGATCTCCGAGATCGAGAAGGAGATCGCCCGCACGCAGAAGAACAAAGGTCCGGGGCGGGGGGAGGCGGGCGGGGGCTGAGGGGCCTGGGGATCGGAGCCCTTTGGGGGGGGCGTGGGGTGGTGGTGGAAGGGATCTGAGGGGAGAGGTGGTGGTTTGGGCGCTGAGGGAGGCGGGATGTGGGGTGGTTTGGGGGGGTGGTGGATGGGGGGGGGTGGCGGTTGATTGGGGGGGGTTGGAAGGGGTTTGAGGGGAGAGATGATGCTTTGAGCCACGGGGGAGGTGGGATGTGGGGTGGTTTGTGAAGCTGGGAGGGGGCTAGTGGATGATGGGGGGGGTTAGAAGGGATCTGAGGGAAGAGATGATGGTTTGGGCCACGGGGGAGGTGGGATGTGGGGTGTTTTATGAAGCTGGGGGGGGGGGCTCCCGGGGCTTGGCTCGGGGCCGTTGAGGCAGCAGGGTGAGCCCTGAGGCCGGGGGGGGGGGGGGGTTGCAAGGGGTGCCCCTCCAGGGGCCGCACGCCGGCGGGGGAGGGAGGGTCCGGAGCCCCGGTTGCACCCCCGGCTCTTCTCCGAGCTGGGTCAGGAACCCCAAGTCCGTGGGGTGCGCGGTTGTCTGCTGGGGGGGGCCGCTGGCTGGTTTAACTTAGAGGGGAGCGGGGAGCTGAGCTCCAGCTCCTCGGCTCCTGGCTGCTTCTGGGGGCATTAAGCTGTGGTAAATAATGGAAAGGAAAAATAGTGAAACCCATGATTGCCTGGGTTTTTCGCTTTTCCCTGTTACAAAGGGAAACAACTACCTTTTTTTTTTTTTTTTTTTTCTGTATCAGGTGTAAATCCAAGTGTTTTGCTAAGAATAAGTCAATAAACTACTTTCACGCACAAAAGCTCCAAGTTAAACGTGTCTTTAACACTTGTCAAGAAGAGGAGGGGGGAAATAAAATGTGTATCTTTGCAGTGTTGTGTGTGACTGGGAATAAGGAGGGGCCTTCGCCCAGGAGCGGCTGTTCCCGCCGTGGTCTCCCCCTCCTTAACTGGCTCCCTTCCCCCATTCGTTCCAGCACCTGTTCTCCCTCTGGCTTTGCTCCTTTTTACTCGGGGAATTTTTTGGCTGCTTATTTCCTTCGAGTCTGACTTTCTGTGCAGGATACCAGAAGGTTTGCTCTCAGCGGCCAATATTTCAGAAATGTTACAGGGTGCCTGGGGGATAGCTCGTGTGTGTGACAGCGCATAAGACATTGACTGAGATCCGTAGTGTTTCTTTTTAGGCAGGTTCTTATTTCTAGAAGTGAATTCTTGGCAACTTTCTGTCAACCAGTGTTTTGTGTTATTCCAGCCACTGAGTACCACCTCGGCCTGCTGAAGGCAAAGCTTGCAAAATACAGAGCTCAGTTGCTAGAACCCTCCAAATCCTCGGCTGCCAAAGGAGAAGGCTTCGATGTGATGAAATCTGGAGATGCCCGGGTGGCGCTGATCGGTTTTCCTTCTGTGGGTAAGGTCAGTGAGCGTCTGCGTTACCACGGGGCGTGTGTGTGTCCAGGTTTGTGGTTAGCAGTGCCTGTGAAGCAGACACCCATCTTCTCTTCATCTTTCTTGCCGTGACTTAACCGAAAGTTACAGCGAGGGGAAATTCTCCTTCCTCTTGTGCGCGGTGCCCTGGGATAATGGCCTGAAACTTTCTCTTGCCCAGCCACTGCACTGCTGAGAAAATAGGTGAGAGTAGGGGCTTTACCTTCATTCAGCGAAAGCGTTGGCTGTCCCATCACCACCACAGCCCCCACACGACTTCTCGAAGCCGAGGAACGCTTTGGTGTTACTTGTTTTGCTGAACGTTTACCGGCGCTTTCGTTTGTGTGTCTGGTGATGCTGGTCTCTTGCATTTCAGTCCACGTTTTTGAGTTTGATGACCTCGACTGCCAGTGAAGCTGCATCTTACGAGTTCACAACCCTGACGTGTATCCCTGGAGTCATAGAAGTAAGTAGGATTCTCCTCCCCTCAGCGCAGTAGTGGTGGCAGGAAACCCAGACGTGTAAATGTGTCTGTTTAAACCAGTTACACTCATGCTGCCACTGAGAAGCAGCGATATCCAAAGGGCTCTGCTGACTTCTGCTTTAAGCTTTAGGAGGTCTCGAGTGCTTGTGGTATCAGGTCTTCTGCAACCTGCAGTGCTGATTTAGCACTTCCCTAGCCTACATAACTCTTCAGGATTGACCGCCCGATGGGGGTTTCATGTGCTGTCGTTTGACTGACCAGAGCAATACGGCAATTCTCAGCTGAATTTTTTATAACCGCTATTGGCGCCATTGACCAGATGGCTGGAAACCTTGACAGATTTGTTTTTAATGAAGCTTTAAAAGAGGCAATCTGTACTGTGATCAATTTGGAAAGAAAATACAACTACTTCTGTCCTTGAGGAGTTTTATTAGCGGTGGCCTAAGCATCCATCAGTAAAGCAAATGATGAAGGGCATCAAACTGAAAAGTGTCCAAGAGTAATGAAAAAATCTGGGTCAGGATTGAAAGCGGAGTTAAATAATGAAAGTAACTGCATTGGTGTTAAAGTGAACACAAATATTGTAACGCATCCAAACGCAGCCGTGAGCTGCAGTCAGTCACTGAAGCCGTTACTGTGGACTTCACCGCAACAATAGCTTGAAAGCCAGTGCCCCTGCAGGTCTGATGAATGAAAGTTTCCCGTTATTTCCTGGTACTGTAACACCTGCAACACATCTGAACAGTTCTGAGCCATCTCATTAAGAGATGGTGGCACTTGCTTGTTACTGTGCTTTCTCATTAGATCAAAAAAATAAAATGTATTTTTTTTCCTTTCTGTTTCACCAACTCACGGTAACGTGACTGTTGTGCTCTTTTCCTGGTGCTTTGTCAAACTGCAATCGTGTGATGCTTTAGGAGGTCAGGACCTGGCGTACCGCAGTATGTGGTGGTGAACGCAGCTTTGTAGGAAACACTCTGGAGGTTGCCTCGACAAAACAGAGCTGTCAGCTTTGTGCAAAGTTGTCCTGCTCCCTCAGGTTCATTCAGTTCCAGCTTTGGACTCCTGCACATGCTTGGGGCTTTCGAGGCAGCTCAGCTGCCCTGCAAAAGGCTTTCAACTTTCCATCCTTTTGTTTCCTTTTCAGTACAAAGGAGCCAATATTCAGCTGCTGGATCTGCCTGGAATCATCGAAGGAGCAGCACAAGGTTGGCTGATCTCTGTGTTCATGTGAAGTAGGGATTTGCCCTCAGTAGTGTACTTGGGTGTCTCAAACGTTAGCAGGTTTCCTGGGCCAGTAGTTCCCACATTGGCTTTCCAAATTTTAGAGTCCTTGATCTTATGTGAGGCACGATTCTTATCCCTGAGCCCACATAAGATTCTATATGTAGCAGAAAGATGCTTTTCTGGAGGTGGGAGCCAAAGCAAGCCAGTCACTTCTCACCTTCCTGCGTGAGTGTTAGCTCGCTCATCTGTTTTCTGGTACAGAGGAAATCTAAAGAAAGATGCTGGAGAGGCGGAGGGGGAAATTACTGCTAAACAGTAACCTCTTTTGACTAATTCCCTGAGTGCCTACCAGTCCTCCCATGACTCCTTATTCTGGGGAGAGGTGTTGGCTTTGTCCCTCTGCTTCATCATTGTCCTGATTGGCTGGTCATGTCAGAAAATGCCTTAAAAAGCTCAGGAAAACCATGTCAGAAGATGCCTTAGGAAACTTTGGAAAATCTCCTGATGGTCTCTTCTTGAAGGAGCATGGCCTGGTTAATAAAGTGTCTCTCCTTTTTGAGCAGAAAGTACACGTAACACTGCAGAGGGGCCCACATCCCTGTTCTGGGTGAGCTGTCTCTGCTGCCTGGAGCTGCTACCGTTGCACATGGCTGGGGTTGTCTGTCCTGCTGGCAGAGATGTCGTTCCCACCCGTGCAGCCATACTCAGATAGCTTTACACTACATTTACACCAGCTTTACACTAGCTCATGTAACCCGTGGTGGAGGAGCAGCAGCAAAGAGTATTTGTTAGGGCTTGTGCTGGACGTAAGACAGTGTGGATGGACCAGATACACTTGGTTAGAGACCCCCCAGCAGCTGACTGCAGCCGGTGCAGCACTGCAGGATCTTTTTCCTTATTTCCAAGCAGCTGTTCAGGGCAGGAGTCCCCGTCTGCCGCAGGACTCGTAGCTGGTTTCTCTTTCTGATGTACGGCCATCTCCTCTCTTCTCAGGGAAGGGCAGAGGTCGGCAGGTGATAGCGGTGGCCAGGACAGCAGACGTCGTTATTATGATGCTGGATGCCACGAAGGGTGAAGTACAGAGGTGGGTGTGTGGAGCTGGGGGGTGCTGGGCCAGGTTCAGGGATTCCCACACACCCAGAAAACGTGCTAGCTCCCTGAAGCGTTGTCCCCTGCGTGTTGGGGAACCAGTACTTAAGCTGTTGAGTATGAGATGGAGGTTGCACTCCATTAGAAGCGTGCTCACTGACTGGCTTGAGCTTCTCAGC